TTTTTTCATGAGCCTTTCTGTGTATTTAAAATTAAGTTGTCATATTGCTTTCTCAAATTTCAGAACGAGTTTAGAATTTGAGTGTGAAGACATTTTGTTGGCCCTTTTACAATGACATGAGTTCCAACCCTCAGTTTTTTCTGGGGGAGAACATAGGTAGATTGAAGAAGCCTCCGGGGGAAGTTCCTTTAAGGATGGGATGTCGAAGGGTAAATTCCATGTAAAGAGGACACTAGTTTGTGTGTACCGCTTTCCAAACTATGATACCTAGATCACTGGTGCTAGACAAGATGTGTTTAGTTGGAATTTCACTGAAGTCTTATTTAACTACTAATAATATATTTAATTTGATTAGTCATGGCATGTGATAACTGGCTTTTCATTTATGATATGCATGTTTCCCTTCATAAAAGCTTATTTAAATAAAAAATGCAAAAATGTTTAATAACCATAAAGGTGGTATATGAATATGGTAAACATCACAAGGTAGGTACACAGATGACAGAGTTTGGGGAAACACTATTGCCAAGAGCAAGCGTCTTCTAGGGCAGCCCTAGGCCTGCCAGGCCAAAGGTGCACACCCGTCACCCACAGAGAGCAGGGAGCTGGTGGAGGTGAGCTTTACCTAAAATAGTCACACGTTATGGGTATATGCCACCCACACAGAGTAGCAAGCTGTGTGTGTTCAGCTTAATCACTTATTGAGCCTCTACTCTGGAATAGGAAATCAGTTGAAGGGGCTGGGGGACCAGGGGATCCTGGGCAGAGCTTTATAGCGAGAGACTCAGGAGAGTAGCCCAGTCTTACCTGAGAAGCACATTGAACCAGCCAGGACTAACTTGCTGATTTTATTTAAGAGGACAGTGCGGTAGGATGATGCTAAGCAAGAATGTCAAATGGAGCAGGCTCTTCGTGAAGTCTTACAAGTACTTACAACCATTGTTGTTCTTTTCCCCTGCAAATACAAAAACGATGAAGCAAAAAGTAAATGGAGAAGAGCCATTCGCCTTATTTATATTTGGAACAGAATCTAGAAACAAAATTATAATTATATTCTTTTCCTCATCTGTGTTTAACAGCAAAAATCCTTCTGGGCTGTGGTCCTCCCTTCCGTCCCCCATTCTCCTTGTGGCCTCTTCATGAGGCCCTTCATAAGCTGACAGCAGGGGTCACCAATCAAAAGCTGCTCCCAGGTTGCGGGCTCACATTGCCTGCCTCTCTGCAGTTTTTCAGGCCCTGGAGGAGCCCCCACCAGCATGTTGCTTTTGTGGGGGAGTGGAGGAGAAAGTCCCCATAAAAAGACAAGAAACAGAGTAGAGTGGACCCGTGCTACCGACCCAAACCATATATTCTAAGGCATAATTAGGTGGGTTGTAAAAGCTAAGTCACCCAATCCTCCAGCCACCAATACTTTTCATTCTAAAAGTCATATTTCTTATTTCTTTTACTTGAAACAGAATAAATGATTATACTCAAGGAACAAGTGTTTCTGTTTAGAACCAGAGAGGAAACTCAACTTAGATCCTCAACTTGACTTTACTGGTCCCCATTGTCCCGGTCACAGCTGTCATTGCAGAGAGACCCCCGTCTCCACCCCTCTCCCTCATGCCCCCACCTGCTGCTGGAACCATCTCATTTAGAACAGCTCTGAGGATTTAGGGGAAGGGATGTGGGGAAGCAATTCCCTGGGGCCTAAACAATGTTAATCATGAGAGCTGATGTTTAAGATTACTCTAAGTGACACAGATACTCACGTGTTCTTATAAGTTCGTGTGTGTGTGTGTGTGTGTGTGTGTGTGTGTGTAGAGAGAGAGAGAGACTGATTGATGGATGAATTGATTGATCGATTGATTTAAAGCCTTTTGAAGCACAGGGTAAAGACTGCTCTGCCCAGGATTTAGGATGGTACTACCCTACATCAGCATTCAACAAGCCTTTTCCAAGTTCATCCCCCTCAGCCCATTAATCATGATATGGACCAACCGGGCCAGGACGTCCTGACTTTCTCGATATGTTCCTTTTGAAGCCAGCTGACTGGGTTTTTCTCTTGTTTTGTCCATTAGGAACTGGTGAAAGTGGCAAAAGCACCTTTATCAAGCAGATGAGAATTATCCATGGGTCTGGTTACAGCGATGAAGACAGAAAGGGGTTCACGAAGCTCGTTTACCAGAACATATTCACCGCCATGCAAGCCATGATCAGAGCCATGGACACCCTGAGGATACAGTACCTGTGTGAGCAGAATAAGGTACAGCGCTTGTTGGGCGTTGCCCTGTTTGTGATGACTTGCTTTCCTACTCTGGTCAGCAGATGTTTCTGAACAAAAAGATTTACTGGGTGTTTTGGTCAGAGGCCAAAAGAAGCTCTTGAGCTCAAACTCCAGAGACGTGTGGTGAATGTAGTCGGCCCTGTGGTCTTCTTTATGCTGGAGTTCTAGCACGGCCATAGTGTGGGGCTGCCCTGTGCGGGGATTCGGAATTGTGGGCAGTTGTTTAATTTGCTTATTTCAGGCACTGAGAACAGGAAGGCATATGCATTTTCTCCTTCAGCTAAGGTACCCAGTTAGTTTTTCAGTGAAGCAATGGAGACCTTGGGTTTATAAGGGCCAACTTTGTAAAGAATTCCCAGTCTTAGGAAATATGTTCACTAAGGCCCTGTAAACTGCTCAGAGAAAGCAGTGGGTTTTGTTTGTTTATTTTGGGAGCTAGCCCTTCTTGGGAATTAAGTGATAGCTTGTGTGAATGATGCTTATATCCCAGCCAGCAGCGGGCCCTGATAAAGTATTGGTAACAAGCTCTCATTGGCTTTCATATCACCACTGGTCATTTAAAACACAAATCTGTGTAAGACCATGGGGAATAAAGGGCAGGATGATGGGAGGAGGAGACGAATAAAATTTTATGTGGTATATTGGAATGCAAATTCATTGGGCAATACTATGTCTGAGTTCATTAGGGATCTGGATTAGAAATAGAGTTTATTTAAAATCATACCAAATTACTACATGACGTGATGATAAAAAGAAAAACTCTGTCTAAGATGAGTCTCTTTTGGGTCTATTAAAAAGAAATATAGCTGCTAAAAAGCCAGAATTGAGTGGGCTTTAATATAGATCCCAAGGACAGCTTTATCAAGAACTGGTGGCACCTGTATTCATATGTGCTTTTTAAATATATATATGACTTTGCCAAAGACTTTCAAAGCAATTAGTCCAAACTTTTTATTTCTCAGTGATTGGATTACATAGAAAAACACAGCATGCACCAAATCTTAGACTTACTTTTACACTGTGTCTGTAAATTCATGTCTACCACCATTTCCTTGCAGTCTTGAAGGAATGTATTTTGCCTATAGCTTCAACTTTCAACAGTGTTATACTGAAAAGTGTGTGTGTTGAGGGGGGATTAGCCCTTACTATATCTGGTGCCAAGTAATGTGAGAGGTGCATGCCGAGCCGTTGGGAGATTCTGGAAGTGACTCTGATGATTCTTTTGCACATTGGTTTTGAGTACACGCTTTCTGTCTTTTGAACCTATCCCATTCTTTTTTAATCACCCTGTACAGGTATTTTAAAAATTAGGCCATCTGTGAAAATTTAGGATCAGAAGAGGTATGTCAGGAATATTCTTGTGGTTTAGTTTTCTGTTTGTTTGTTTTTCTGTTCTAACATGTATTTGGTTTCTTGGTCATAGTAAGGTGACCGGGGGAAGCTTGGAATTTAGGGGTGGATTTGTAAACAAACCTATCGGGAAGAAAATGCTTAAGCGCATGTCAGTTCTGCTTACCTTGGCAACGTGTTTGTAAAACCCAATCAGACTTAGTAATCAAGGTCTCTGGGTTTTTGCTTTGTTTTGTTTTCCCTCAAGGTCTTCTGGTGCTACTCTGAGTTTATGTTTTGAACAAAAAGGTTTTATGGGGTTTGACATTCTACCACTTTCTCCTTTTCTCTCTCTCGTTTTTTTTTTTTTTTAATTATCTTTATTGTTGAAAGTATTACAGATGTCCCCCCCTTTTTTCCCCATTGACCTCCTCCACCCCACACCTGTCCCTCCCAGTCCTTCATTGCACTATTGTCTATTGTCTTCTTTTTTTTTTTTTAACATATATTGATTTTTTACAGAGAGGAAGGGAGAGAGAGAGTCAGAAACATTGATGAGAGAGAAACATCAATCAGCCGCCTCCTGCACATCTCCTACTGGGGATGTGCCTGCAACCAAGGTACATGCTCCTGACCAGAATCGAACCTGGGACCCTTTCAGTCCGCAGGCCGACGCTCTATCCACTGAGCCAAACCAGTTTCGGCTATTGTCTAATGTCTTATGCATGTAAATTTTCTGCTTAATCTCTGCCCACCCATCCACCCCCACCTTCCTTCAGAAATTCGTCAGTCTGTTCCATGCCTCTATGTCTCTGGATCTATTCTGTTCATCAGTTTATTTTGTTCATTAGAATCCACATATGAGTGAGATTATGTGATACTTACCTTTCTCTGACTGCTTATTTATCTTAGCATAATGCTCTCCAGTCCATCCATGCTGTTGCAAATGGAAAAGAGGGAACTTTCCTCTTGATCTTAATTCTTTTTCACCAGGCCATGTCCACTTGCCTACTAATCTGTTAGTTTCCCATAGCTGCTGTAACAAAAGACCTCAAACTGGGTGGCTTAGAAATTTATGTGGCAACAGGTCTGAAGACTAGAAGTCCGAAATTAAGGTTGATTGGTTCAACGGGAGACTGTGAGGGAAACCCCGTTCCATACTTGTCTTCTAGCCTCTGGTCCTTGCTGGCGACCTTTGATGTCCTTTCCACTCTCTGCCTATCTTCACAGAGTTCTCCCCGGTGTGTGTCTCTGTGTTCTGTCCGTGTCCAAATTTCTTCTTCTTATAAGGATGCCAGTCATTGGATGTAACTGGGTTACATCTACAAAGACAGTTACTTTCTGAGGTTGGGGGTTGCATGAATTTCAGAGGGATACTATTCAACTCAGTAGAGTCTGCCTCCATTCATATCCATCCCACAAGCAAAATATATTTCCCCTATTCCAATAATCCTCAAAGACTTAATCCACTCCAGCATCAACTCTGTCTCATAGCTAATGTAAATATCAACTCACAAGGCCCTAAATCTCATCATTTAAATCATCTAAATCAGGTGTGGGTGTATGTCAGTTATATGGCTTATTAGAATATGGATTCTGGATTTGGTCCATTCTGGAGCAGACTTCCTCTCCTTCCACAGACCTGTGTCCTCCTCACTTATGTATCTGGCTCCATTCTCAATGCCTCCTTTCTTTCTGCTTTAAGTACCTACTTTCATGCCTCATAAACTTCCTCTTAACCCTCGGACATATGCCTGGGATGAACCACATGCTGAAATGGCCTAAGGAAAGGCAGAAGATTGAGTGGAAAGAACATTGGATGGGTTCCTAAAAATCTGGGCTCTGCTCATGGCTCCCCTGTGGGCCTCAGGCAGGAGTCAGCAAACTTTTCTGTAAAGGGCCAGAGAGGAAATATTTTTGGCTTTGAGGGCTATTCAGTCTCTCTGGCAACTGTTCGACTCAGCCATTGTAGTGCAAAAGCAGCCATTGGCCACGCATAAACAAAGGAATGGGACTGGCTTGTAAACTCTATTGGCAAAATGTAAAAGCCACTCTTAACTCATGGTCCGGACAAAAACAGGCCACAAGTACATTAAGTCCATGGGCTGTAGGGGCCCACCCTAGTCCTAGGGGAAGCCATAAAACATCCCTGGTCTTTGCATTTCTCCACCTGGTCAGTGCAGCCCACACATGCTCTGTCTATTTCATAAGCCAACATGGGCAAAAGGAAGTGCTTTGCAAATTAAACAGCACTCAAGAAATACAAGGTTATTATTGGGGCAAGTTCAAAAGCCAAAAATGGACTCATTGTTTAGGTCATTTTCATCCATTCCTTCTCTATTATTTTCTGAATAATTTTCTCTGTGGGCTAAAACTGGTGACTAAACATGGAACTATAGCAAAGTACTGTACTCATTTAAGTCATAAAATGATAAAATTAGTGTTTTCTTGAAACAGTTGATTAGTGAGGACAGGGTTGAACAAAGTCTTCCTTAGTTTTCATTTTTAGTGGTGTATTGCTTCCCTCAATAATTCTTTGCTAAGAATTTCATTTGATTATCTTTTATGTATTTATTTATTTATTTTTTTTGGAGCTGGGAACACTTTCTTAACAGAATATATAAGGAAATGAGTGATTTTTTTCTTTAAATGTTTGCAAGATTATTGCTCAGCCAGGTTGTTTAAAGTCTTTGCCTATTACAGACAGGCTGCTTATGAAAGAAAAATTATCAGAAGGTTAGTTCAGCATTTGTTTTTTAACCAACATATTTTTTCCAATTAAGATTGAGCCTTGCCCTGGCTGATGTTGCTCAGTGGTAGAGTGTCGGCTCACAGGTTCGATTCCCAGTCAAAGGCGTGTATCTGGGTTGCAGGTTTAATCCCTTGTGGGAGCCAACCAATCGATGTGTCTCTCCCACATTGATGTTTCTCTCTCTCTCTCCCCCTCCCTCCCTTCCACTCTCTCTAAAAATTAATGGAAAACTATCCTAGGGTAAAGATTAACAAAACAAAACAAAGGTAGAGCCTTGAAAAATATTTTCTTCTGTTTTGCCGTCTTTTATTTGTAAAGAAATGATTCATATGTATTTGTTGGTGAGCCTTAGTTATGAATGTCTCTCAGTGCTGTATGAGCACATTAGAACTTATGACTTCTTGAATAAATGTTACAAAGGCATGTGCTCAATGGCAAGGCTCCTACATTTGAGTTAGCTTATAACTCACTCTCACTAGTGATGATTTCATTGAAATCCGAAGAGCCTCATATTTTTGCTGTTTGTAGTGTCTCCCACTTGGAAAATTCTCCTTCTAGACCTGTCCTAGAAGCAAATCTTTCTGGTCCCTTAAAGGTTCTGCAGAATCTGCCTGGATGACTTAGATGCAGAAATTCCCAAGAGCAAAGGACAGGCTGCCCAGCTTCTCAGAAGCCTTTTAGCTCTCTGTTCAGTGGGCCCCAGAAAAAGGAATTGATTCTGCATGGGCTCTCGGGCAGCAGCCCCCTGAAGATGCTTTTAGGAGCTCTTTATGATACCGGGGTCACATCACACTTGCATATGTTACACAAATTTAATTGCAAAGGCTCCTCACAGAAACATTGTTAAAAGGAAAGTTAATAATTAAACAATTATTTGCCTACCATTCTACTGCAAGTA